GTGTTCTTTAAATCTGTAGTGGAAAACCTCAAATTGGAATACAGACTCAGGTCACAAATGTCAGAAAACGGACCTTTAAGTGGCTCCAAAGTGTTGACAGGATTCTGTGGCTGTAGAGCTTTCGGTTTTGAATCTCTGAAGAGGGCTGTGTGTGCTTGTGCTTGTGGAGGAGTGGAAGCATATACCCACACCTGATACTGAGATTTTTGTTCTCATCTGTGATTAGGTTTCTTGTTGCTACCTGTATCTTTTAACTGTCTGCACTGTGTTTCTCAGCTTGTTTGCTTTTTTATTCTTGGCCTCCTTAGCCACATATACTGATTGTAAAATACAGTGTCAGTTGCTGTTGATTCTTACTGCGTATAAGAGTTATGAAATATCTTCATTATTCTTGTTTTTGTACATCTTAGAGTTCTAGAAGAATGTTTGACTGAGTTCTTTCAGTAGCAAATTAAAACAGCCCTTAATCAGATATCCTATTTTCTCCTTATCTTGTGTTTTCTAAGTAATGAAGTGATATTTTTGCAAAACATCCGTTCTTAGGAGTAAAGGCTTAATCTGATAAGGTGGCTTTGTTTCACAGCATCAGTTCAGAGTTTTGCACCAAATTATTTTGTTCCAATAAAGCCAAAATTAGATAAATACTTAACTCCTGATTCAGCAAAGGAGCCACAGTGATGAATCTCATGAAAACATCACTAGATATTGGGACAAGAGACTCTCCATCCACAGTGTTCTCTGACTTAGAAACTATTGCATAGTGCTTAGTTCTAATTTGACCACAACAAAAAGGGGGGTGAGAGTGTAGCCTTCTGGAAACTTTTATTTAGCCATGTTGGCTGGTGCTTCCTGCAGTGTGAGCCCAGTGATGGGGGTGAGCACAAGAAGTCTTTAAATTGGTCAGTGTGAATCTCTAATGTATATCTATATTTTCCTATCTGAATTTGAACACTTAAGTATTACTCTGTTATGAAGCTAACCTGTGTACCTGCGAAACTCTCCAATGAGGAGAGTTTTTTTTAATGCTGGTTACAGATGGCTTTTAGTGGAAGGGAGCTGTTTCTCTTTTCTCTGTGTCCCCCTTCCCTAAATGCTGGCTAGAGGGAAACGGTGAACTGGAACTTCGTTTGAGGTTAGGAGGCTGTTGGGATGTGTTGCTGCAGTTATGGTAGTGTTAAGTCATGTGCTTTGATACTGATGACTGGCATATTGAAATTAAAATTGAGGTAGCTACAGATTCACTTAAGCAGACATATATCTAGAATAATGTGAACAAGGTGATGCAGGAAAGGTAGGGGTTTGTCTGGCAATGAATACAATTCATAATGTGTTTTCAGACCTGATGGGACAGTTAAAATTGGTTCCCATTGACTGAATTATCGAGATCAGTGCTTTTGTCTTGGTAAGATAATTCTGAGGTATAAATTGGTATCAAGTGAACTGTGCTGGAATTGCTCCACTAAACCTACTGTCAATTTTTTTTTTTTTAATGTGGGTAGGCACTTTGTTAATTATTCAAGACAAATAGAACTTCTGGGTGCTGTGAAATATCCAGCCCAAGAGAACCACTGATGGTATATGGATCCTGATTGCTGTGATGGGCTTGCATAAGCTGGAAGAGCTGTCTTGGCTGTCTAAGATAGCTAGGGTGGGGAGCAAGGGGATGACAGTGCAAGGAGGTTCAGTGCTGTAGGCAGTGTTTGTGTGCCTGGGTTTCCTCTGCTGAGGATGAAGCAGTTAAGGGGCAGGTGACATATACCTGTGTTTATTCAGTGACTTCAAGAGAATCTTTACCAGCTGGATCTTCCTGATGTTCTACTCAGGCCCCTTTATCAGCTCCTGACAGGGCCTGATGGACATAGGAAACTGAGCTCTTAGAAGAAAAAATTTAAATATTTTTCTACAGGCACATGAAAGGAAATGGAATTTTAGCTCTTATAATTGCATTATTCTTTTTTTCTAAGTGTGTAAGTAGTTTTCAGACCAGTCATAAGACACTATAGTCAAAATACCAAAATTAGTACCTTGCTTCAAAGAGCTGTTAGAGATTACTGATCTTTGAATTAACTGTTGTCATATATTTGTGGGGTTTTGAAAGTCCTAGCAAAAATGAATAGTCATAGTAATGAAAGTAATATGGAATTTTATTTATGACTTACTGATTGTAAGTCAAGACACAACTCAGACTTCAATCTGTAGGCACTAAATTTAGTAGATTCTTGGGAGATTAGAAAAAATATTGAATCTTTATCTATATGTAATTACCTAATGCTGTCTAGACTGGCTGGATTTCCAAGGCTTTGACCCTCTTGGCAGCTGAATTTTTTTTTTTATTCCCCCCCCCCAACTAGGTTCCTAAGCTATCTCTGAACAGTAGTTAGGCATTTCCTTCCATGTTGGGTTCCCCCACGAGTGGTTTCACTCAGCTCACCCGATTCAGTTATTCTGAATAGTCAGGTGAACTGATTATTCTGTCAGTTCACCTGATTATTTTTTCTTTCTAACCTCATAGTAAGTGAAGTAGTAGTAACATTGCTCTTTTATGAGACAAGGAAGTTGAAGGGGGGGGATGTGTTAAAAGGTAAATATTAGGTGGTTTGACTTGGGCGTGTTTGCCACTGTGGCTGTGAAATCCCCTTTACTGATGGTAAATACAACAAACTTACCCATACCTGTTAATTCAAGAACAGAATCTGCTGACAGTATTCAAGTATATGAACACAGTAAAGAAGAATGAAGCATTTAATCTGTAATGTATCATTGACTGTTTCTTGCAACTTGTTCACAAAACCTTCTGTTCATTACTCACCATGACTACTTCAGGTTCCAGTCCTGTTGTCTGGCAATTGTTTTAGATGAACTTGCTTGTAATCTGGTTATCTGATACAGGATAGTCACTCCTTTTTTGGTTAAGGGCCTAAGACATTAGGTAGACTAAAACTTAATTGGTACGAATTCATCAAGTTTTAGTAAGAGCAAGTACAGCAGCCCAGTGCTAAATACTCTTGCCCTAGACTCTGTTTTTGTTTTTGTTTGGTTTTTGTTTTGTTCAGGAGATACTAAAGAGCCTTACTTGAATGTATGGGTCTTCTAACACTTGGGTATATAGGAAAAGAAATACTCAGTGCTAAAAGACTGTACTGCTATCAAAAGGAAGGGACAGCTAGCTGAAAGCCATAAACTTCTGTGGAGAGTTACTGATTGAAGAATTAAAGTTTTCCTGATGTTTAAGATTTGCTACTCTGCTGTTAAGCTGTTTGTTACGAGTTGGCTGGAGTGTTAAATACTTTTAACATGCCATCTAGAGCTTTTTCTGAAGCTCACTTATGCCTTCTCACTGCACACTGGATGGGTAGCATTAATGCTTTAGTTATGTCTAATGCAGTGGCTATAATGGTTAGTTCTTTGCTATCTGCTTTTAGAAAGCTTCTAAGTGTTTTTTAATTCCTCTGGTCTGCCTTCTCTTTATCTGTTCTATTTATCAGACTTCATGGAAAGCTTTAGAAGAACATACAATTTACTTCAAAAAGAGAAGTTTCTTGGATCATCTCGCCTTAGGTCATACAGATGCCAGACTTGATGTTAGGGAAGTAGCTGAAGACCAGGACTTACTCCTGCAGCCAAGTGTTGTATGACTTTAACTGTAATACAGGCTGCGCTCCAGAGATGCGCTTTCACAGTAGTTCATGCTTGTGTAAATTGAACTACTGTGGTTGTCTATGTGTGTACTGCTTGCTTGTGTAGTTAAGCAGCAAGCTGGATCAAGCAGCTGGTACAGCCTATGACACTTGCTACATGCACATGAATTGGTTCAGTGTCTGGTCAGTACTGATACCGAGAGCTCATGTTGAGCTGCTACAGTCCAGCCTAAAATAATTTGTGATTGAATGATTGTAAAATACCCCTGAGCACTTCCTTGTATCCAAATGCAAGTTCAGTTGAAGCTGGAAGGAAAACAGAGTATAATTTAAGGCAAAAGTCAGAAACCCTTGGCAACTGAATTGTCTGATGATAACCTGCCGCTGCTAGTTTTCAGGACAGTGAGAGCAGGTTCCAAATGTATTGACTCCTTTAGACCCTGTTCGAGCCTATTAAACTCGTATTAAATTATGCCCCTTTTTAGCCACTGAATTATACATTTGATAACAGAGGTGGTGTTTGAAAATGTGGATCACACAGGCTTGGAGAATAGATACACTCTTGGGTTACTGAAATTGAACAAACCTTGCGATATGCTCTCATTCTGTAAAACACTTTCAGAAGGCAATGTAGTAGAACTCTTAGAGAAGTTTGTATGCTTATTCTAAGGCTTTTCTTATCCTGCCACTTGCTTTCCTTTTGTCTTAGCTGAGAAGCATATCACTGAGCTTTCATGAACAGTGTTGGGGGTGGAAACATGACCCATACCACACCACTGTTCCCAAAAAAGCGCCCTAAAACAGGTGAGGAGAGTTGTGGGCTAACTTCAGGAAAAGGAACAGATACAGACAAGGAAATCTGCAGAATGCTAGTGTTCTGAGGCTTTCAGTGAAAAACTGGGGTTTTTTGGGTTTTTTGTTTTGCTTTTTTTTTTTTTTTTGTTTATTAGCTCACTGATAGTGAACTACTTTGTCTAATTCCTGCAAATCAAAAATCCAGTTAGGCTGGTTCTTACCCAAACTTTGTGTGCTCTTGTGAAATGCTTTGAGGTCAGGTTGGACTTATCAGTGTTGTGAATTCAGAGTCTTTCCACACAACTCTTATCCTCCCCAAATTGTTCAAAACAACAGCAAAAAGATGTAGTAAATGATTGGCTTAAGCCAAATTTATTTAGAATAGACTTCTGGCAAATTGTACTAAAATAACTAACTGGCTTAGTATTGACTCAGCCTTCTGGCTTAAAGAGTATTTTGGTCTAGAAATCTGTCTCTTATTGATTCAGATGTTTCTATTAGTAAATTAATCTGAAGTCAAATGAGGCATTTGTTTGTAAAATTTAACTAATCTGTTTTGCTTTCCAGGCATCTTTTCTTACAAAGAAGCTAAATATTGGTGGGAAAAGAGTAAACCTTGCAATATGGGTATGTTTACTTTCCCATTTTCCCTTCCCTAGCTAAATATTCTGTTTTCATGAAAAATTACTTGGGCTCATTAGAACTCAAATGTTAGGCACTTCTTAATAAAAGTAAAATTTCAAAGTATTTGGAGTTTCTTGAAGTATTGTTTGCTTTGTCTTAAATTGCTAACAAGTGTGTATTAAATGCAGGATACAGCTGGTCAAGAAAGATTTCATGCATTGGGGCCAATCTACTACAGGGATTCCAATGGCGCCATTCTAGTATATGATATAACAGATGAAGACTCTTTTCAAAAGGTACTGGACAGTTCCTAACTCTGTGGGAGTTGTAAACTGAAAGATCATCAGTGATATGGGTGTGTAAATGGGAATCTTCTGTTTTCAGCAATAGCAATATATATTTGTGAATTTAATAGGAGTGTATGGCTTACTAGCCTTCTTTGGATGCTTTTTTTCAGTCTACTAAAGTTCTAGCAAGGTTATTCAAAGGCCACCAGAGAATTAGATGCGAGTTACCTCACACCTAATGTGACAGGCTATAAACATAAACCAGAACTGTTGTGGTAGTACACAGTACTGATCTCTACTGTATAAACCAAATTACTGAAAGATATTAAGTGATATGACCTTTTTCAGATCTGAGAACTCTGAAATTGTAATACACGATTGTGGGAACATTACTTTTTCAGTGATAATAGGTATTTGGACTTCAAATCCTCATGAAACCCTGAAATTTGATTGCTAATTATAGCAGTATTAGTTGATCGTTTTGAGCAGGTAAGGTTTTTTCTAACCTTGTGTCAAATCTGTGCTGTCACTCTGTAAGATGTTCCAGCTGAAAACTGGTGACACTGTTACCTAAGTGATTTTGTCTCTGATTAACTTGTGGCATTCTGTATAGAGGAGTAAGAAATTGTGGTTGTATGGGCAAGACTTGGGTTAGCAGTGACAGAAGTAGTATAAGGGTATAGTTCTGCAGCAGCTTAAGTGATTCAAATAGTGTGATGCAGGGCAAGTAAAGCATTTGTGCTAAAAGTTAAACTCGTCTCCCATCTACAGAATTGCAATGACTCGAGTACTACTTCAACATATACCTTTTCATGCTGAGCCCTACTTAGTAAAATTCTGTGATTCTTGGGGAAAAAAGAGGGAGGGTTAATTGGCAGAAGTTATTGCATACCTCTCGTGTATCCTAACTATTTTTAGGTTCTTGAAGTGATTGTCTCTTGTCATGATTAAATTCCCTTAAAATAACAGTCCCTAAGTCAATGCAGTGATCATACAACCTCAAAGCATGACAACAGAATTGATAACAGATACCTTACCATCAGCTGACTTGACACTCTTGTCCCATCTGTTCTCTCAGGAAACAAACATCTGTTATAATCTAACCTGAACTACTCAGTTCAGGTACCTCTACCTTTAAAGTACCATTTGTGATCTGTCAGTAAGTGCCTGTTGATAAAAGATCTCATGCCTGACCTAAAGTGGCCAATGCAGTGAACTTGTTCTTTGGAGTGGGGCTAACACAAGTGTGGTGAGTTATATTTCTGGAGTAATTGAACCATTTTATCTAAGTCATTTGCTCTTAATTT